TCCCTCTCTAGTGAGCCCATGTATCCTCTTGCCAATAAATAAATAAATATGGTCAAACATCTAGAACTTATGTTGCTAAATGGTTATACAGGTAATCTCAGTGTGATAAGGTTATGGGAGATTGTTTTAATTCCCTCTGCCCTTTTTTTCCTTTGACAAGCATTTATTCACTGGATAACAAAAGTAATTAGTTTAAAATACAATTTAAAGAGTTTATGGCAAAAACCTTTCCATGTTGGAATATCTATTGGTCAGAATCTATGAGATCCTGATAAGACAGTCACTTACCATTCACCCCCATCAAATGTCTGTGTAACAGTTTTGCACTTAGCCTCTTTTGAACCCTAGCAGCTATTGTAGGAAGTATGAAAAATTCTGTCTAGGTACCCCAGTGTCCAAGGCCAGAATACACTTTTACTATCTTTTTTCTTTAAAGAATTATTTTATTTAACTTTATTTATTTACACATTTAAATTTGATTAGAGAAGGAGAGAGAGAGAGAGAGAGAAAGAGAAAGCCACCAGGTCTGGGACTCAAACCATGGTTGGCCCTGTGGGAGTCCAGTGCCCATAACCACCATGCCACCTGCCGGCCCCAACCTTATAGTATCTTGATAGCAGATAGTTTTACAAAAATCTTTGTTTCTCTCATGATTATTTTGCATTCAGATTTTTCTATTTGTTTTTAATCTATTTTAGTAGCTTAAATTTTGTTAATATAAATAATCAATTCTAACATGATTTTAAAATTTATTTGCATAGTTCATTGGAGTCTCATCATACTGAAGAGAGATTGATTCCTATGGTAAAATGACAACACTTAAGGTAAAATTATACTTAACAAAATTTATTCTTTAAAATCCATTAACTTGCTTTGGCCTAGGCCCCTAAAATTTCAGATTCCAGGAATCAATCTATTTTGTTTCTCTTTGCATTTTAGCTGTAACTTCCCTTTTCTTGAGGCTATAAAGGCCAAATTCTAGTATGGTCTGGCAAGGAGAAGTTGGAGATTTGAATTCCTGTGTTTAAATTCGTCTATGACAAAATCTCACTTTCTAGGATAAATTTCCATTACTAAAATTTGGGGGCCCAAGAATATGTGCAGTTTAAATTCTGATATGTAATGTCTGTCTTCCAAGAACTAATTTAAAAATCCCAATAAAATCTGTCAAAGTAAATTAAAATGGAAACCAGGACTGAAGAATCTCTGAGCAGTCAATTAAATCTCATAAATGACCTTAATCTTGCTAGATTTGCAAATATAAGTAAAACTTAACCTGAGTGATTTCTTCTAAATGCCTATATATATTTTTTAAAATGAAGGATAGCTCTATAGTCTAGTGGCTAAGGGAACTGGATACCACATGGCCAGCTATGGTTCAAATCCCAGCCCTGGTGGCCTAAAAAATATGCTGGATGCCTGCCTGTATGTGTGCCCCAAATCCTGATGTGAATGAAATGGAGATGGGGAGCCAGCAGATAGTGTAGCAATCACATCACTGGACTCCCATATGGCTGATCATGGTTTAAGTCTCAGACCTATTGGCTAGAAGTTCATGCTGGGTACATGTGAGTATGTGCCCAAGATCCCAGAAAGAGAATGGAGAAAAAGGGATTGTAGCATGGCCATCCCCTCTGGAGGATGATTTCTTACTTTCCCTCTCACTGCCTCTGTTTCTCTCTCTCCCCTGTGATTGCACATGCCCCCTCAGGTAAAAATATCTACAAATAAAATAAAACAAAACAGAAAAGCCAGAAATAGAGGAATAGAGATTACAACATAATCATGCATCTATAAAGGATTTTTTTCCCTTTTTCTCTGTGTCTCTCTCTTGTGAATACATGAACCCTCTGGAAATTTTTAAAAAATGAAACTTCACCTCAACCAATCAAACGTCTCCAAGTAACTTATTATTGTATAACTAAGTAGTTTCCTTTAGGATAAACCAAATAGGGAAACTATAAAACTGTATAACCATATATTGCCTTTGGTTTACTTCCTTGTTCATCTCTTAAAAAAATCACTCTCTAAAGATAACATATGAATAGCCAAAAGGCATATGGAAAAATGCTCAACATCCCTCATTGTACAGGAAATGCAGATCAAAACAACAATGAGATGCCACCTAACACCAGTCAGAATGACTAAGATTTAAAAAAAAAAAAAAA